TCTTTCTAACAGGGTGTATAAAATAATTGCTAGCGGGTGACGGTCTCTTTTGATTTGTTTTTTTCTCGTTATCAACCTTTAATGGGAGGGGGGACGGGGAGATATCTCGTCGTCCGTCAGAGATGTGTTAAGACGCAGAAAATATAGAAAGAACTAGCACGTGAGGGGTGTAGACATATCGCCGGGAACCCATTACCTTCGGTGCTGCGTATCGATTTTCCGGCTCCGGGAAAAGCTCGGCATCGCGAAAGCTCCTCTGTAAACTGTAGACCGTCTTCCTCAAAGCGTACCTCGGCCTCTCGAGGTGAAGTGAAACGACGCGAAGTAAAATGCCGTAGGAAAATTTCGAAAAATTCACGAATCTACGAAATTTCATTGATATCCTTCGTATCTTTGATATCTCCGTTGCTTCCCTTTTACGCGTTTTATTTAGAGTTTCGGAACTGCGCAGACGCACACGAATTAAGGAGCCCTCCTAGTATTGACTGGCAGAAAATAAAAGATGATCCTTGAGTTAAAAAAAAGAAACTCCATAGTCACGTGGTGATGTTTCAAATGATTTTCTGCACTCCGTTCGAAGAAAAGTTTTATAGTCATGTCATTTCTTGAATCATCGGTCCATTCTGTGCCGTTGATGACGTTTTTTTTTTCTGTGAGCCAGCAAAAAATGACCCTGAAGAATAGTGATTACTAGCACGTGATGGGATGATTTGAGTTTCTAAGTGCTTTTGCGCAAGATATAGCAATAAACGCGCGTTAGGGCACTCTTGAGTTCGGCCCCTCTTGGAGGGTGCAATTTTTCACGCGATGGACCCAAAGGACCTCCAACCCCATGCTTCGGGGACATCCCTCTACACCGGCACCCTGCAACATCGTTTCAACGTAAGTGGACGAAAAACAATAAAAAGAACGAGGGCTCTCACTTTGAAGCTTGCGACGCCTTTGTATACGGAGCTTCGTCGATAGCATTGCCCCAAAGCCTCGGAAAAAGCGTTCCTTTTCTTTTTTATCCACATAAGGAGAGGTACCAATTCTTGTTACGGATGCAAGTCTCTTTATTCATACTCATTTTTAAATGTTCTCCACGGTACAATCCTCTGGATGTTTAAATAAGATCGCACCCTGTATATGTTCTCTTGATGATAGGCTTCCGTAACTTTAAGGCTCTAATTTATCTCGGCATAAGGTGTATTTCAATTGTTTGCATCCTAGTCTTGAAATGGGTATTTCTAGATAAACGAGACTGTTGCGCCTCCGATTTCACAGGAGAAAAATAGAGTCCACGTGGTCTGTTCATTTGGTGTTACTTGCGGCGGAAACTTGAGCAGCGTATGGACTGAAATCGTTTTTCCTTCGGACACTCGGCGTGTTCCCTTTGTTCCGTCCTTTTTTTTTATCGGCGCCACCGTAATCGATACAGTTATGAAAACGGATATGACGGGAACAATGTAAAAGTAGCGTGGTCTTTATAGCCCGCGATAAAATTCGCTTCCCTCCGCATGTACGCGAGATTGGAGAGCATCGGAAATGGTCCACTATTTTTACGTATTTCAGGGAGGTCTGTTACATGACTTTTTCTCATAAGAATTAAATCAGATGAAACCACTCGAGAGTCGTTTAAAATTAATCCTTGGAATATTCGTATAAAATATTCCTTTATCTCGTATATACCTCATATTTACCTCGTATGAAGCTGATTAAAATTTGAAGTATAATACCAGAAATTAATACCCATTATTAACCCATTTATTTTTATAAAAGAAGAATTTCTTCCAGAGTACTTTTATGTAAGATGCATTTATCGAATTTCGTGGACGCACAGGGGCGGCCAGTTTGAAAATCGGGAAAAGGAAGGGAAACGGGGTAACAGGGTTGGCCGATATGTTCGTAACGATTTATATTGAATAAAACATGAGCTGATCGAGTAAAAGTTCGGTCCCGAAGTGCGCGGCCAGCTTCTCGTCCTGAGGTTTCCTCAGGGCGTCCTCCCCTCCCGCCCTCTCTCTCTGATAATGAACGATATTACTCTGGTAAGATGCATCGCGTCGCTTATGAGGGGATATTTCATAGTTGGAAAAGTTGCACGCGCGGGAGATTTAACCGGCCATTTATCTTCGGGACGCCGGGCGCATTCCTGGGTCCCGAGGGACCCGGTCGGCCGTTCGCCATCTTTCAATTACTTTTTAATTACATTTTCGAGGATGGGCCCAGCTGCGCGTTTCGTTCCGGGCATCCCGAAAATGTCTGATTTCCCTTCTCGTTAGTCCCGATGAAGTCTATTCCGATTGTAAAGCTTCAAACGCGTCGGTACATCCAGTTCGTAGATGTTTCACGAACGATTGACCTTTCAGATGCCACTATCACCTTAAAAGAAGAAAAAATCGGAAGTTCACCCAAGATCGATAATTTCGACTCGGGATCCGATTGCGTCCGGGACGAGTCTCGAGTTTCCGCTATTCAAAAGCTCGCGACGTTTCGCCATTTCCTGGGGAAAGAACCTTCGGATACTCGAGCCCTGTCGTCCTTTGAAACCCCCGGAGATGGTGGGAAGGGCTGGAAGTCATTTTGGAACACGCCGGCTTACCAGCCGGAGGTGGAGGGAGGACTCCTCCCGAGGACGTCAATGTCGGTGCTTTGTTGCGCATTTTTCGGGATCCCCTTCATCTCGGCCTGGTAACGTTAATCTCGAGCGGAAGGGCTTTGGGGGGATCGAAATTTCAATTTTGCTTGAAAACGGGGAGGGCCGACTCAAAGTCCTCCCTCGCGACTTGAAGTCCTCCATCGTGCCATAAATTCGTTTGGGAATCGGACCCCGAAGGGCGCTGGACCGTTTTTTACGGTAGGATGCAATAAGGTAGACCACGGAGGCGTTTTGTGCCACGTCCTTTACCCAGTGCACCGCAATTTAATTAACGCTCCACCCGAGGCCAAAATCTGTATCATCAGGAACGTCGGAAAACCGCAGACTCTGTTCCTGACCAGCCGTGGGGCATTCTTGGGCCGTAATAATGGATAGTTCCATCTCTCGGCTTTAAATACCGCTCGTGATCGTAATTAACTTCCCCGTTGTCGGAAAAAATGTTGGAGTATCGGACCCTTCTTATTTTTATCCCTCTATTTTCCTTCAATTCACCAGTAATATTGTTGCAGAATCAAACTATAAATTGTGATCCTTTAACAAAAATCGAGTTAACGGGGTCAAATTGTTCAGCTTACCAGTTCTTTTTCTCTCAGTGCACGACGTCTCGTTTGTATACTTGTTTCCGTATCTAAATCTGTCCTTTGTATCTATCTGTACTAGTGTATCTTTTATCTTTTTATTTATACCTAAATCATCGTTACTATTCCTTGCTTAAATCGAGAATGACGCTTGTGGCGTCTTCATGGAATTAGGCGAAATTGACCCCGAAAGCTTCCCCGATAAACGATTAGGTCCGTGGGCACGTTCTAATTAAAAGTTCGGACCGGAAACACGCATCGTAGAGAAAATGGAATCATCGTTCCCATTCCTTGCGCAATTCGAAAATGACGCTTGTGGCGTCTTCATGGAATTGGGCGAAATTGGCCCCGAAAGCTTCCCCGATAAAACGATTAGGTCCGTGGGCACGTTCTAATTAAAAGTTTGGACCGGAAACAGGGTCTCTATGATCTCTCTCCGAGTTCCCAGAGACCGCAGAACTGCCGGCAGTCCGTTCTTTGACCGACCCGACCGCGACAGCTCCAAGTCTGAGGATTTACCGTCTCGTGCGGTAAATGGCGGCCCCATGATCCATGGCACCGGGTCCAGGCACTCGCCATAAATTTCCCTCGCGATCCAGTAATTTGCACTTCGGCCACCGGGCTCGAGTGATCATCCCCCGGGACCCCCGAGGGATCCTCCGGGGATCGTCGGACGATGCCAGACGAGGGCGAATAATTACTCATTTCCGGGAGCCCCGAGGAGTCCTCGGTGAATCTTTAACGCTTCCGGCAAAAATAAACACCCCGAAGAGGCTGGATTCAGATCTTATAATCTTTTAATCTCGGGATCATCTCTTGGATGCAGTCATTCTCCTATTCTCGCGGAACTTCCTTATTCCGCTTCACTTCCAGCTTCGGACTGAAATTGGACTTAAGGGGATGTGATAGCCCAATCGTTCATGAAACTTTTCTCCGGACTGGATGTACCGAGTCGGTAGGAATTTTATCACGTGGGGATGGTTCTTAAGGAAGGTTCTGACCCCCTTGAAATTTAATTCTTTTTAACGTTTATTTGACAAGACTAAATTTCTCGACGGGTTTCACTTCACCTTGATCTCCAAAGCATCTCCCGGATGCTGCAATCTTTCTCCCATTTTTACGACAATCCTGCATTCGGCTTGATTTCTACTTTCTGTCCGAAATCGGACTTGGAGGAGAAAAATCGATACCAAATACCGTTTCACACGGTCCAAAAGGGGATGGCGATGGGGTGGGACGAGAAAGAGAGAGTCGGGGTGGCGAATCTTCTGAAATTTCTTCCTTTTGGCGATTTTCGTTTTTGCCACTTTTTTTTATCTTGTATGTTGTGGCTCTTTGTACGAGAACGCTTTGTACTCGGAGGCTTGATCAGGAGTAAAGGGTTTTATTGAGGGATGAAAGGGTGGGTGTTAACCACCTCTGGTTATATCGCTCGTCCATGATACGATGTTGGAAGGTACGTCGAAGCACATGGTCGTTTTATGGGGTATCCTATTAGTAAGTAATATTAAAGATGAATTACAGGGATAATATGTTTACAACAAATTTTTACATTTATTTTCTCCATAGTTTTCTTATTAAAGTGAAATTTATTGCGTTGAGGTAGCGTAAGTTCGAATGTTAGGAAACGCAGTAACATGTCTACGTAAATGTTTTCGTTAATGCTAGTGGGATATTCTCTCAGTTAATTATTGACGTTTAATCATTAACTACAGTTTCACTTCCAACGCATTTACCGATTTTCTTGTTTATTTTTAACCGGTTGGTGTCCTTTTTTGCAGAATGTCTTGCGCGAATTGGAGCAGAAGAAGCCGCAGCTGGACGAGTTGGTGCACACCGCGGAGAATCTCAAAGCTGACACCAATCGTCAACAACTTCACGGCAAGGGTGAGTGACTATTCATTTAAAGAGGCGTTAATCGCCGATCGTTAATCGCTTTACCAGCAAATAAGTCCAACAAGTTTGGACCTCGGTAATTGGTGCCAAATGGGCCGATCTGCGAAGCGCTGCGGACATTTCCGCGCGTCCGAGAAATTTAATTATCGCGACTCGATTGTCACCTCCAGTCGATTACTCGACCCTGGTGACTTCGTTGTTAATCAATCGGAGGTTGCACGCTTTCGATGAATGTCGAATGTCCTCGCAGAAAATTCCCAGTAAAACAATTGAGAGATTTGTCCCTTTTTTTTTCTCGTTACAAGAAATGGGGAAGAATAAGTGTTACACCTGAAATTGCAATTCTTTTTTTTTTTTTTTTTTAACGAAAGGCGTTGACGCTGACGGATGTTCTTTTTTAAAAGACCTCACGTTCTTCTGTTGCACCTTGCGCGGGGAAATCTATGTTGGGGTGGGAATGGACTTCAGAGGTGATATTTTTAATTATTTCCGAGGCGTCGCAATGTTCGCTCGATAGAGCATTGTTCGGTTCTTATTAGCTGTTGGACTCCTTGTTCTCTTGCGTGGCTCGCAGACAATTCTTCGGTCCATTGTTGCACCCCCGTTGTTCGGTGCAAGGATAGGGAAGGGTTGTTTGCCAGAGACCTTGTCATCGCGATGCGCTGTGGTTGCTGGATTTACGCATCGTCCGATGTACCAGGAATAAGGAAGAGGAATAAGAATATCGTTCTTTTCTAAATTCGAATCCAGCGACGCTAGACGCCCCTTAAGGTGATGCGAAAGTGGCGTCAAAGAGGTCTCGTTTGTGAAACTTTTCGCCGAATTGGGTGTACCGAATCGTTTAAAACTCCACAATGTGAACGTAGAGAGTATAAAGATGGTCCTGATACCCATGAAATATACATTGTTTAACAATCCGTTATAAAAAATGAAATTTCTTCGATGTGAGGACCTTTCTTATAGTCTCCATATTCACGGTGTAAAGTTTGGAATGATTCGGTACATTCGGTTCGGAGAAAAGTTTCATGAATTCTCGGATGCCACTTTCACATCCCCTTAACGAGAAAAATCAACTCCGAGGTTCTTAAAATGACTTAACCGAGACTGAAATTTCTGTCGGCAAACTACAGGATAACAAAAATAGAAGGTGGAGAAGTTCAACGGGGATCGATAATTTCGTCTCGGGGTGTAGGGAACGGAAAAGACCAGCAATATAACAACGTTTCTTCGGGAACCAGTCCTTGCAAGACCTAGTTACTTGCAAGGTGACCAACGCCAAGGAAAGCCCTAGTAATTTCCCCCGCAGTGGAATTACCGCCATCTCCGAGAGATCCAATTACTAGAAATTTTTCTCCTCGCCGTTTGCACTTTCCCAGCATTTCTTCCTACATCGAGTGTTTCTAATTTAATGTTCTCGTGTTTGGAAACGGGAACGGAAAGTCCAGATCAATTGGTACTCGAATAGAGAAAAAACATCTTTTAAAATTACAGAAAAATCTGCAAAACGTACAGATGCTATCCGTTGAAACAAGGACATCAGATTATTTCCGTTAGCGTTACGATAAAGCTTTTGTTACTTAAATCCGTAAAAATAGCAGATAAATATCGATAACGATTGCATATAAGTATTTGGAAGGGTTACGGATAAATATCCGTACGCTAATGGGACAGTTTTTAACCGTATCGTGAACAATTTTCTACGGATAAATTTCTAAGGCTCTTATTTTCCTCCATGTAGACGCTTTTTTTGTACGATTTCGATCGATTTAGATATCCGCAATAATTCCGTGGCGACCTCACCGATGGGAAGAATTTATTTCCTGACCCGACAATGTGAGCTCTCGGCCCTTACATATTCCCAGGACGAAGCATCGTTACGTGGCGAGACTTTACGGGAGCTTTCCGTGAAAAGTTACCCCGCTAAAGTCCAGGGTGGATCCTTGAAAGTCAAGCAGTCTCGGCGAGGTTCTCGCCGAGCTTCCTGGCTCTTCTTCCAGCGCTCCTCTCGGCGAAGTACCGAGACTTCGGGCGAACTTCTTTGCTCGCCTCGTTAGAGCCCGATGCAACTGAATGTTCAATTGTATCTTCGTTAGATGGATTTACTGCACCACATGCTTTTACTCGTGCCATAAACGGATCGAGCTTGAAAAGTTACTCGTTTCTTTTTTTTATGTCAAACTTCTTATGTCAGGACAGTAAGTGTAAATTCGCATGTTAAGAAATGATAGGTACCTAGGGAGGATCGGTAACATGTATGTTAATATTATATAACTACAATGCTAACAAGTTTGTATCAACATTACTGAACGGTAGTAATTCGACGTTATGTGATATTAATGTATCTTTGGAATAACATTCGTTACATATCATGTTATTCCAGTGTTATATGGAACATAGTGTGTTTGGGAGTGTTCCGCACGATCTTGGTACTTTACAAAAAACGTTATTCACGAAGTTAACGCTAATGCATGTCCTTTGTAATAAAGGATTTCCATTACTTACGGCCAGTGGTAATTTAAATTTCTCGTAAATGCATCTAGAACACGGAAAATATCGATTTTTTTTAAGAGCGTTTCTGAGATAAGCGATCACGCAACGAGGAATATCGTCGTAGCGAAGGCTGAAGCTCTTTCGGTAAGGAAAACTCCTCTAAAATTGAAGAACCTGGGACAACATCCTAGGGTCTCTATGAAAATGGAATCCCGGGAGACGCGATTCCGAATTTCCCAGAGCGAGAACGCTCTTCAGGAAAATCTCGTTTACAGTTCTTGACATGCGAGAGAGGGCCGAAGAACCCATTTCACGAAGCTCAGGTTCGCCTTAAAAATACTCGATCGCTGAAGAAACCTATTTTCAACGATTTTTAAGCCGTCAATAATTATCTCTCATATTTTCACATTTTCCCCATTTTTTTAAATTTTTTCCGCACTTCGCTATCAAAGATTTAATTATGGAAAACGACATAGATACGGTTCTCGCGCCATCGATTTAATAACGTGTACACTACCGCTGAGATATTTGCGGACAGTTCATATTTTTTTTTTGCAGAAAGATAAATAATATTTGTAAGCGTTACGGAACAAATCTGCAGATTTAATAGATTCCACTGTACATTTACATACGATAGATAAAATCTGTACATTTTACAGATTTTTTTTCTCCGTGTACCACGTTCGAGGAAAATTTACGAGAAAAATGTTATAAAAATGCAACGTTTTTTAAAATAGGGCATGACCTGTGTTATATCAATGTTAGTTCGGATTTAAATGACATGTCTCTGAAAATACTCGTGGAATAGGGCAAGGAAAAAGGGAGAGATGCGCCGGAGATGAGCCAGTCCTCGAATTTTCATGGAGATGGAGAATCCTAGGAGGCATATCTTCCGGTTTTCCGGCGCGCCTCCACTTTCCGGAAAATCGCGGTCGCGCTCGGTAACGCGTCCGGAAGAGTTTTCCGCGGAAACTAGCCGGATGGCAAAAAGGTTCTCCCGTTTTGCGGTCTCCGGACCGAGGGAAGCTGGGCTCCGCAGGGGGTCCTTCCGCTTTTGGGCATCACCGATTTCGGGCATAGATTATTATTTTACATTTAATCCGGGATATTGCTCCCCTGTATGTCCTTTCACGAGCGGGACTCTTTGAAGCTCGGCTTACTCCACTACACGGAGAGAAAAAAAAAAACCCTGTTGAAGTTACAGAAAAATCAGTCAAATGTACAGATTTTATCCGTCCAAATAAGGACAGCAGACTATTTCTGGTGGCGTTACTATAAAGTTACTATAAAGATTTCTTCCGTAACGGTTACAAATGTTTTTAATCTTTCCGGAAAAATTAACGGGATTAATCCGTTAATGGGACAGTTTGTAACCGTAAAGGATGGGTTTCGGATAGGCCATTCTCCGTCTTTAATTCCCGTTTTATAGGAAAAATTGCTAAAAAAACCACGGCTTCGGTACAAATTAAAAATTTTTTTTTATCGAAGTATATAACTTTTGGTGCAGCACAAAGGGGTGGATTTCAGATGGGTCGCTCCCCATCTTTAATTCCCGTTTTCCGCCCCTCGTCGGAGTCTCCGGACCGAGCCGGAGATCCTTCGCGACGAGCAAAGCGAATCTAATTGCCTGATCCGCTTTGGCGTTTCCGGGACGGGGAGCGATGGCAGCTCCGGCCCTCGAAGTGTCAACCACACCGTGGAAAAACAATCGGGGCTTTACCGGCAACCATTACCGCGCGTTACAAACGAATCCCACTCAAGATCGCATTAATGCACCGGGCGTTTCGAGCGACCGGGGGCGAATAAATTGCGCCCCGCTAGCTGGGATTTTTCGTTATTCCTCGTTTTATCCGCACCCCTGTAGAGAGCTCGTCGTCGAATAAGGCCGGTGGGGTGCGGAGTCGTCGCCGATGTGGAGAAGCACCCCGACCCCCTCGTGCGGACAATGGCCCCTTCCTTTGGACAATGAAAGATGCCAATTACTCGGGGTTTAAATACGCTGACTTCCCTGTTGGTTTCTGCTAATTTCTCGCTTTTATTTCTTATTGGCCACTTGCCGCACGGAGGCCTCTCCGCCCCCCGCGGGTGTTGTCTTCTTTATGACCCCTTCATGGAATGATTCTCGTGTCGGATGCACGACCCTCTTCGGTGACATTTCGGTAGTTACACATACTTTCGGTCAGAAATTCCCATTTCACTGAGGTTTCATTATCCGCCGAATCTGTTACATAATTCGGTGCGTGCCCTGTTAATTATAAAATTATAATATTTTTTTTTAAGAGGGCATAGGTAATACTTTGCATAATTTGTCGTCGGTTACACCTTCAGAGAGAGTACCATGGGGTTGGGCTTTCTTTGTTTTATATTTTCAATACTTATTGGAATTGATTTGGGTCGATGGAACGTGCCATCCGATTGGGGTGAGGACAATCAGCTGATTCGACGAGTGAATCGGCGCGGACGCGAAAGAAAGGGGATGTGATCGTGGAAACCGGGATGCG